AGAGAGGTTGTTAATTGTTCTAGCTTAATATCACAAGAGGCATGCAATTTTTTAAAAGAAGAATATTCTTTAGACTTCTTTTAAATTCAAAGTTCAATTCTTCTAAAGCCATAGCTATGTCACATTGCATATAGAAAGATTCACTTTCGGCCTCGGATATTACCTCATGTTCATTTGCCATGAAACAAACATTTGGGTCATGAAGAGCAAGTTTGGCTCCTTCTTCATCACTATCCGAATCACTTGGTTCGGATTCTTCCCATCCGGCATACATAGCCTTCTTCTTCTTGTACTTCATGTACTTTTTCTTGAGCTTAGGGCAATCCTTAACGATGTGACCCGGTTCATTGCACTCAAAACATTTACCTACACGAGAGAAAAACTTGTTGTAGATCGAGGGTTAAATTTCTTGTTCATTTTTATAAGTCTAGAGATTCTTCTAGAGAGATGAGCCACTTCTCTAGAAAAATCGCCTTCATTATCCGATGACGAAGATGAGTTGTCACTAGCTCCTTTGAGAGCTATGGTCTTCAACTTTGGTGACGGCTCCTCAACTTCACGTGATGGCACTTTCTCCTTCTCCTTCCCCTTGAGCTTCTTCTCATGCACTTTGAGCTTTCCGATGAGGCTATCAAGAGCTAAGGTAGTGAGGTCATGAGCTTCCTCAATGGCCGTAGCTTTGGGCTCCCATGCCGGAGTCAATGAGCGAAGTATTTTGTAGTTCATCTCTTGAATGGACAATTGCTTATCAAGACCATGTAATTCATTAATGATATTAGTAAAATGGGAAAACATAGCATCAATGGATTCATTAGGAAGCATTTTAAATATCTCATAATCATGCATAAGCCCACTAATATTAGATTCCTTAACTTGGGGGGTTCCTTCATGTGTGATACATAATTTTACCCAAATTTCGTATGCGGTTGCACACGTGGAAACTCTATTGTATTCATTGGGGGAAAGACCACAAATTAAGGCGTTCATGGCCTTAGCATTGAGATTGGCTTTGTGCCTTTCTTCTTCGGTCATGTTCCCGACTTTGGACTTCTCTACATATTTCTTTCCTATGAGCTCTAGGATGTCAAGGTCAATGCAACGAAGGAAAATTTTCATCCTAGCCTTCCAATAAGCAAAATTAGTCCCGGTGAAGAGTGGTGGTCTAGTGGTGGATTGTCCTTCTAACATATGCATATTCAAAGAGGCCTCCATTAGATCTTTTCTCTAAGGTGGTTAAACCAAAAATTAATATAGAGACCAAGCTCTGATACCAATTGTTGGACCCTAGAGGGGGGTGATTAGGCTCTAATATGCAATAAAATTAAACACAAGCAAACCACAAAACAGTAATGCGATTAAAGTAAAAGAGATAGGGTTAGGAATTGTTATCCTTTGACGCGCGATGTGTTAACGAGGTTCGGTCCGCTGACCTACGTCCCCGCTCCCCACTCTCGAGGAGAAATCCACTACACACCCAGTTTGGAAGCCGAAACTTCATCTACACAGCGATTGCCTCTCAATCTCTCAATACTCAGTTGATCTCAACAGATCCCACACCCTCACAATTGATCTACACAAGATCACACTCACACAGCAGTAGAAATGATGCAAGACTCACTCTTTACAAGACCCTATGGCAAAGAGAAAGAGTACTGAAGCTGGGAAGTGAACTCACACAAGAAACACAGTGAAAAACCAAAGAAAACAGAGTTTGAAAAATTTTCTCAGAAGACAGCGTCTCTCTGGTTTTTCAGCAGAAGTTAGGGCAACTGGGAAGAAGAAGAAGTCTGGGTTTAAATAGAAAAGTTTAATCATTTTAAAATCACAACTCAATCTTCCCAATTAAGAAAATAATCTCTTCTTCAGACTATTACCACAGACTGTGCCAAACACAGTTAAGTGATAGCACAGTAACCAAGGCAACCGACCGTTTGAAAAATCTCTCGGTTGACCGAATAGAATTTCGATCGATCGCCAGAAAGTTCGGTCGACCGAAAAGATACATCCGGTCGACCGACCGAAAATCCGGTCGACCGTGAGCAGCTATGAAAACTCAGAAAACAAGCAGAGCCATCATTGGTCGACCGACGCGGTCGACCGATATAAAAATCAAGATTTCGGTCGACCGCACCGGTCGACCGACGACGTCTCTGGAGCCCAGTGACGAATGACCTCAAGTGCGGTCGACCGGTGCTGTCGACCGCATTCTGATATGCTCCAGAAAACTGTTTTGACTCAAACTAAAATATTTAGAAAATATTTATATGACCTCTGAAAAATATGAAACTTTGTAAAATGTTTTTAATACTAAAAACAATCTGTTTGAAAAAAGAATTTTGCAGATAGGTCCTCATACTTGTGAAAAATAGTGTTTTGTGAAAAACGCTTAAAAGCTTAAGTATGAAAATGTGTGTGTGAGTCCCAATAGCTTCAAGTGAATTCAATAACTCTTTGCCTACATTCTAATACTAGAGAGAGAATAAAAACTGGCTAATATCCTCACATAGAATATAATCTTTGAGTCTTGATATAGCTTGAGTTTGGATGAAGCTTTTATATGAATTTGTTGTTCTTGAAATAACATTGCTTCATCGCTATGCCTCCTCCTCCTTTGGATATCATCATTATAGCGTATATTCCATCCAATCCTCCATGAATGGCACTAACAAGCTTGATAAATGAATTTATTACATTTGCACTCAATAAGCCATTAGTACCGTTAATGATGGTTGTAAAACATCATCAAAACATAAAGGCTAACAGTTAGAATATGATACAAACTAGGCAAGATCCCAACCATATCTATCGGGAGGATTTCCCGCATTACTACGAGTAGTCCTCCGTACAGATATTGGTGTGGGAGGAGTAAGGAGAGGAATGATATCACCTTGAGAGGAATCTAGTGGTGGTGTAGGTGTCTCAGGAGTCGGGGCATGCGTTGGCAAGGGACTTGGTACCAGCACTATAGGTACTGTTCCCGCAATTTGTTTCCCCTTCCTACTATAGGTGAGTAGCTCCACCTGAGCCGTGAGCCTAATACCTCTTGTCTCATTCTCCTCTTCTTCTCCATTCTCATGCTCCTCCACAACCAATTCTCCTTCCCAAGGAATCGTTACAGAAAATGATTTCTCCACATTCACCGATCTCTCACAATTCTCCTCCTCTCGCCTCATACTTCTAGTATTAGGCGACTTACCAATGGATGAAGTTACCTTCCGGGTATAATATGACTCGAGTTCTCGAAAGTGCACATCCATGCTCATAAACAACCTTTTCTCCATCGGGCTCCAGCAAACATATCCCATCTGAGTAGCAGAATATTCCACAAAGATGCATTTCACCGCTCTAGGGGCAAGCTTCTCGACGGATGGCCTGTTGTCCTTCACAAAGCACACACAGCCAACAACCTTGAGTGGAAGAAGCCCACCATTATCTCCCTTCAACATCTCACACAGAGACTTCCAATCTAGCACTATCGAGGGCATTCTGTTAATTAGTGCTGCTGCGGTCAACACTGCTTACCCCCATAATATTTCTGGGACATTCATGGAGATCATCATACTTCTAGCAACCTCTAAAAGATGTCTGTTCTTCCTTTCTGCTACCCCATTCTGAGCTGGTGTGTATGTGCATGTAGTCTGGTGTTGTATTTCCTGCGCTGACAAGTATTCCCCAAACGCTTTGTTAGTATACTCTGTCCCATTATCAGATCTCAATACCTTCACCACATCGCCGTATTGAGTCTGAGCATACCTATGAAAGTTTTGAAAGCAACCAAACACTTCACTCTTATTTGTCATCAAGTGTAACCAAGTAACGTGAGAGAAACAATCAATAAAGATAACAAAATACTTGTATCCATTCATAGAACTTGTGGAACAAGGCCCCCAAACATCTAAATATATCAGGTCAAATGCACGAGAATTCCTATGACCAGAACTTACGTAAGAACTTCTAGTAAGCTTCCCAAACTCACATGCATCACACACAAGGTTCTGCTTATTTGCTTTCTCAAATAGAGATGGATACAACCTACTTAAAACACTAAAGGATGAGTGTCCCAAACGTTGGTGATGAAGCATCAACATACTCTCAACACTCATCTCAGATCCTACTCCTGCTCTCTCTACCGTAGATACCAATGCTGAGTCCAGTCCTTCACGATCTAGGTACCACAGTCCACTACGCCATATGCCAGTCCCAAGCCTCCGCCCTATCCCCTTCTCCTGGAAGATCACCTTAGGAATGTCAAAAGAAACAATGCATTTTAGTTGAAGTATAATAGCACTAATGGACAAAAGATTGACTGGAAAGGAAGGAGCATGCAAAACATTAGACAAAGTTACAGAACCTGTACAATTGACTATACCCTTACCAACCACTGGATAAAAAGTACCATCAGCTGTTTGGATACTATCAGCCAATTCTAAGTGAGTATATGATGAGAACTCATTAGCATTACCTGCCAGATGTCGAGACGCACCGGAGTCGACTATCCATTCTGATGATCTATCGGTAGACATAGAAGCAAGAGCATGTATGTCATCAGTACCTTTGGTCGGATGAGCATAAGTAGCAGTGTTACCTATGGCGAAGAATGAAGTGGATGCCTCCTCAGTCCCACTCCTCCTGTCTCCATCTCCTGCTACTCTCTGTTTCCTCCTGAGTATCTCTAGGAGAGCATGATCCTCATCAATAAAGACCACATCAGCTACTTCCACTCCCTCTGTAACCATCAGATTTGCCCTGTTGCATGCTACTCTTCCACCTCGTTGACCCCCACGGCCACGACCACGACCTCCGAACTGTCCACGTCCACCCGTATCTCCTTCATTGGGTGGTTTGGTACAAGCATGCCTTAGATGACCCACTTCATCGCAGTTGTAGCACTACCGAGTCTCCCCCTTGGGTCCAGTATTGCTAGGGTTGGAGGCCGCCAGTGCTGACTTCACCACGGGAAGTCCACCTGTCCCCGCCTGTAGTTTATCGCGAGTCTCCTCCTAGATCATGGCTGAGACTGCCTCCTCAAGTGTGGGAATTTTTGGCTGAGCTAGCAGTAACGCAATTCTCTGAGCAAATTCCGATGTCAGCCCCTTGAGAAACACCATAGTCCTCTCCTGTAAAAAGGCCTCTCGCTCTTTACACTCTGGGTCCTTACAGCTCGCCCGAGATGAGAAGTGATCATAATCTAGCCACAGGCGCACCAACTCTGTAGCATACTCCTGTACAGTCTTTTCTTCCTGGACTGTGGCGTCGATCTCTCCCTTGATCTGGAACACCCTCAGGTTATTCCCTACTCCATCATAGGTCCTCCTCAACTTCTCCCAGACATCCTTCACCTTCTCAATGCCATCCACTGTGGCGGCGATCGACTGGATCAATGAGTTGCGGAGCCAGATGTACACCAACATATGAGTGGACTTTCACTCATCTCTCCTTGCTGAGCCCTCAGCCAGCTCTGTCTTCTCTCCTGTCAAATATCCCTCCAGGTTCCTCCCCGCAAGGGTGTATCTTACCTGTCGTGACTAGCTCAGGTAAGTAGCTGGTCCATCGAGCTTCAGATCGATGGCTGGAAGTTCCAACTTCATCAGTGGTCTTGTTGCGCGCTCACCAGCTGACAACTTTATCAACTGCATCAAAGTTGAGACCTCCGCGGGGTTCAACTTCTTGATGATTTCCTCCATCGATCAGGCTCTAGATCAAGCACATGTCCTCCTTCTCTTCTAACTCTTGTTGTGTGCAGTGAAAAATTTCAGCAGCACTTCTGTTGCACAACAAGAGTAAGATTTCAACTAAATTCTTGTTTCTCAAAGAAAACAAGAATCGACAGTGATATATCTCAACACCGTGAGATATACACTCTTCCTCTCATCAGTTCTAGGACTGAAATGTCGAGGGAATCGAACAAGCTCCTCTCATCAGTTCTATGACTGAGATGTTGAGGGTATCCAAGCTACAAATCATAGGGTTAGGGTTTGGCGGGTTGGGGGGGTTGAGGCTCTGATACCAAGTAGAAAATATATGAAACCCTCATAGATTAGATAATATGGGCTTATATAGGCCCTACAAACACATCTTACAAATAAGCCCCTTAACTATACTAATATGTCAACAGTAATATTCTAAAATAAAAAGAAGAAATTTGGCTTGCGAAAGAAGTACATGGATAGTTTCAATTTCAAACTTTTAAATTTAAAATTAGATTGATTAACTATCAATCTCTTCCTTATAATATCCCTCATTTTTATAATAATTTAAAAATAAAGAGGATGTCATAAAAAGTCGACGCTCCTTGTGCGATCACACAACATTGAAAAAAAAATCTCTTCGTCCATATAAGAACTATAATGTTTTTGCTAGTTAGTGAAGTCATCTTACATTGATATTTTATTATAACAGAAATTTTGAGATTTGGTGTGAATTAAATAGGACATCGAGTAAAACTCTGCAACATCAAGCAATCAAATAAAATATCACAGTTAGATGAGATATAAAGCCTTCACATATATTAATATAATCTAAAAAATCTCATGATTTAAATCAAAATTAAAATAATTTCAATTTCATTACGAATTACATGTGTCTTTAAAACACTTATCCATAAAGTAATCTTAAGAATCCAAATAATTATTTTTAGAATAATTCTAAAAAAACTATTAAAATTTTAATCTAATTATTAAGAAAAATTGCATAAAATAAGGGGGCAACGTTAGGTATTATTTTTGGGTAATTTGTGTAAGTGATTTATTTACTTTTTGTTGGATCTAAAAAGTACTTTTGTAATAGGAAGTTCTTAATTTTCATAGGAAGAAATAATAGTAAATCTTTATATGTTATAGGTTTTCTTAAAGATGAGATCTTATGTTCTATTAATATTTTAATCTAAGGAGTAACAAACATAAACCTAATTCCTCTTTATAAAAATTGAGTAATACATCTGACGTTTCCAAGAGGAAGACTAATTCATCAACTTAAGTATTATTTGACTTGTGTACAATTTTGTATATACGGTTTTGTGTAGAGAGACTTTCTACATGAGCTTTTTTTTATAAATTCTATACCTAAATGTATGGTTATGAGATTTTTTTAATTATGAATATTTATAAGTTGATTAGGATTATTGAATATTTGATTATTAAAATTTTCTACTTAATTATATATAATTTTAATTTGATGATGATTCTTAATTAGGTGAAAATAAGCTCAGGTGAGTCTACAAAAAAAGTAGCGGTCTGAATGGCGTCTTTTAGCAGGCGATTTCTGCTCTGCTAAATTACGCCCCCGTTTAGATCTAGATGGCAAAAAAGAAGAAGAAAAGTGGGAGAAAAATCTTTAATATTGGTTTGAGAGCATCTAATTCTAGTTTGCTAAGCTCCGGTGATCAATCTGATACAAGTTTCTTTGAAGATGAAGAAGATTCTGCTTCAAGTATTATGGGGTCAACGGGGCCAAAGGGAGAGAAGATGAAGAAATCAATGGTGGAAATCCTTAACTCTATTGATTCTTATCAATCGCAAGCAACTCCTCAGTTGATATCTCGATCGCTGAACTCTGTTAGTGGACCTGAGAGTTCCAGCAGAGTTTCGTGGGCTGATGAAGTTAATTTGGTTGATGAATTGACTAAATCTTCAAAATCTACGAGTATTTTAGTTTCCGATCCTATGCTCCCTAAATCTGGAATAGATCTGGTTGCTGTTTCATTGAATCCTGAAGAGAAAATTACTGATACTGTTGAAATTGATTCTAATAGAGATGCTTCGTCTGATTTTGATTCTAATAGAGATGTTTCTAATAAAGGAAAAGCAGTTTTTCCTCCTCTTAATGATGAGTCTATGAATAATACTAGAAATGCTAAGAAAACTTGGGCAAGTATTTTTACAGACAATAGGAAACCAGGTCATGGTTTTGAATTGGACTTTATGCCGCCTGAAACTAAGGATAAGGTAACATTTGGGGATGATGAATGGAATGAGGGTGTTTCTTTTTGGGAATTCTCTCTCATTGGGCAAGTTATGGGGCTAAATGTCAGATATAAAGCAATGGAATCTTATGTGCAAAAAGTTTGGGCCTCATTTGCAGTTCCTGAAATCAGTATTCTCAAGGCTGGTGTTTTTCTGTTCAAATTCAAAAATAAAGAAGAAATGTGTGATATACTTGGAAGAGGTCCTTGGTTTTTTGGCTCTAGGCCTCTACTCCTAAAGACTTGGGCTATTGATGAAGATATTGATAGAGTTAAGGAGTGTGGTTACCCTATGTGGATTCAACTCTCAGGGTTAAAGCTTAACTTGTGGAATGCTAAGGCAATTAGCAAAATTGTTAGTATTATTGGAAAGCCTATCTCTACTGATAAACTCACAGCTACTAAGCAAAGGCTTGCCTATGCTAGGGTCCTCGTTGAAGTCACAATGCATGCTCCTCTTCCTGATAGTATCTCAATTTAGGGGCCGAATGAGTCTATTTTCACTCAAAAAGTGATTTATGAGTTCAAGCCAAGATGGTGTGAATTTTGTAGAATGGTTGGACATGAATCAAGTTTATGCAGGAGAAAAGTTAGAGTTCAGAAATGGATCCCTAAGCAAAACATAAAACCTGTAATCCAGCAGGAGGGAAAAACTAGTGCTGATATTGGTACTAGCAGTGTACAAAATTCAGTTCATTTGAAATCTGTTTTACAAAAAGAAGAAGCTGTAGAGATGAGGTCTCTGGAACAAAAATCTTTGCAGGTATCACAGGAATCTGTTCTTATGCATGATAATCTGGTGAATGCTGAAACAAATGAAAATCAAAGAACACAAACAAAGAGGAGCAGTGATGTTGATGAACAGAGGTCTGTGCGTGTTGTGCATGCTCATCAGTTAAAAGATGGTGTTTACCAATCAAATCTTACACGTGCTGTTAATCCTTGGATTCAGATACAAAGAAGTAAGGGAAAAGCTCCTGCTAACCTTTTCTCTCATCTGACCTATTTGAATAATGATCCCTCTACAATTGATAGAGGAGATTGTAGAGAAATATGAACTTTTCAATATGGAATGTGAGAGGACTGAATAAGTCCTCAAAACAACATCTGGTTAAAAATCATATTTTTCAATACCAGATATCTTTTATAGCTCTGCTGGAGACAAAGATAAAGGAGGATATGTTGCAAACATGTACAAAGAAAATTGCAAAAGACTGGAAATGGATATCAAATGTGAGAAGATTTGGAAAAACTAGAATATTGATACTTTGGGATCCCAATGTCATGGATATTAATATTGTCAGGTATTCTGATCAGCACATAACATGTGCAGTGAAGTCTTTGGATGGAAATTTAAATTGTTTTATTTCCTCTATCTATGGTTTTAACCAATTGGAAAAAAGGAAACAGCTATGGGCTGAGCTTACTGATATTCAAATTCTTATTGGAAATACTCCTTGTCTTCTTAGTGGTGATTTCAACTCTTTCACTAGTGATGAAGAAAAGCTAGGAGGAGTCACTCTTACTGATGCAGATACACAGGATTTCACTAATTTTATCAAAGACTGTGATCTTTCTCAGCTGAAAACTATTGGATGCTACTATACTTGGAATAATAAACAAGATCCTGTGTCTAGAGTTTGGAGCAGATTGGATAGAACATTAGCTAATGACTCATGGATTAATCTTTACAATTCAAGTCAAGCTGAATATCTACTTCCAAGCTTTTCTGATCATTCTCCAGCCCTGATTACTATTAAGGAAGATAAAATACAAGGAAAAAAACCATTCAAGTTTTTCAAAATGTGGATTAATCATGATAAGTTTTTACCAATAGTTTCTGGTATCTGGAAAACCAAGATCAGAGGATTTAAGATGTTTGCTGTATATTCAAAACTCAAGCATCTTAAGGGAGAGCTTAAAGAGCTAAATAAGAAAAACTTCAATAATATCAGTGAACAGGTTGTTAGAGCAAGGCATAAATTGGAAGAAGATCAAAGAAGTCTGCAGGCTGCTCCTCTAAATCCATAGTTCATCAAACATGAAAAAGAATGCATTTCAGTATTCAACAAGCTTCTGAACTGTGAGTTATCCTTTTACCAACAAAAGGCAAGAATTGCTTGGAATGTCCATGGGGATAAATGCACTAATTTCTTTCACTCCCTTTTACCAACAAAAGGCAAGAATTGCTTGGAATGTCCATGGGGATAAATGCACTAATTTCTTTCACTCAATAATCAAGTCTAATAGACATCATAATAGAGTGATGGCCCTCTATAACAATATGGGACAACGTATTACTGATGGTGAAGATATTATAAATGAATTGCTATCTTTCTTCAAAAATCAAATGGGTACAGCTCATCCTACTACAGTCCCTGATATTAGTATTATCAAATCTGGCCCTTGTCTGAAAGATACTCATGTTAAAGCTCTATCATCTCCTGTTTC